AATGAGTCCTCGGCATAACACCAATTGTAAATGTACACGATCATCTCTATCCACGTACTTGAACAGCATATATAGCGCGTCTCTGAAGATCTCGTCCTTATTCTCTTCCACCAATGGATTGTCTGCCACCACTGACGCTGTGCGACCGAACTTCTCTTGGTAGCGAGAGTCGATGTTCGATGCCAGATACGGTGTGAAGTCAAACTGCATGGACGCATTCTGCAAGGCCCAATAAAACAGGACAGGACAGGACAGGACAGGACAGGGTGTGAGGGGCTGTCTTTCTGTGTAGTGCACAGTTATATGCAATGCCACGCCCGGTGTACTCGGAAAGGTACAGCAGTGATGAAAGGGAAAATTTCTTATTGCGACGCGAATCAATAGTCGCTGCCGTGTTCGGTGTGATTTCAAACCTGTCAAGTCTTACCGGAGATATAAAACAATATCCCTAACATATAAAACAATATCGGCGAGATAACTTTACCTACTAGTGTATATGTGCATTCAAACCTTTCAAGTCCTACCGGAGATATAAAACAATATCCCTAACATATAAAACAATTTCGGCGGGATAACTTTACCTACTAGTATCTATGTGCTTAAATTAACCAGGGTCATGTGCAGTTCTCGAAGCGGTGCACTCAGGTATATTGATCAAGCTTCAAGCTATGAATCAATATATAAGGTGATACTCGGATAATTAAATTGTTGGATCCAATAATAGTATATTTCTATGTCTACCTGAATAGGGACCGATGCGGGATAAAAGCCTTCACGCACATTTATTTACGTACACAGAAAGCTATCTTAAGTCGCAAACATTTCAACATCAATTGCCTTCACTCACTGACTGCATATGCGTATAAACTCGTACTGCCCTTTCTCGGATTAACATACGTCGCTTTCGAGATCATCGTCGTCGGTTGTGCTCTGCATGGTACCATATCGTGGGCGGTACATGCCATCCTGTTTCATAGAGAGTGGGTTCAGTGCATAGTCAAATGAGAGTGAAGTCTTAAGAACAGTACAGGCCATCCTGTTTCATAAAGAGTGGGTTCAGTGCATAATCAAATGAGAGTGAAGTCTTACGAACAGTACAGGTCATTCTGTTTCATAGCGAGTGTGTTGGCAACAGAATTTCTTCTACCTAACCTAAGAGTGCATATGTGTGTGTGCGTGTGTGTCGTGTGGATACCCCATAATAGGTACTAGCACAAACCAGTGCCAGAGTGTGCTTGCATCTACTTCACACACGTGTACATGTGAATGTGTATGCATGTATGCGTGTCGATATACAAGTAGGCTTTGGATTCCAAACACATACCAGAGTGCCTTTGCGTTGTCTCGTGTACGTGTACACGTGTATGTGTGAGGATACAAGGGTAGGGCTGCAAACTTAAGTATACACCAACGCGCGCTTGCATCTGCTCCATACAAGTGTGCATGTCCATGTGAACGTGTACATGCGTGTGGATATATATGCACAAATACCAACTTCAAGCAGGGCCCGAATGTGCTTGCGACTGCTATGTATGAGCACATACCATCAACGTGTCGTCTGATCCATTGTACGACTGTGCAGAGGAAGCTGAGGATCCGTCTCCCTGATGGTTGAGATGGGCAGTTACAAAGAAGATTTAGAGTACCTACATATTACTGTCAAATGAAGTGGGGGGTGATCCGGCATGCCACCTATATCCAATACATCCATCCAGTTTGCTGGATGGAGACTAGGTTTACTTTTGATTGATCTGTCCCCACTCTATACAACGTATATTCGGGGGTTGTAAAGTACAAACGTCACTGAGATTATCTGCATGCATTAAATCCTACTCAGACCGTACAGTGTCTTCATTTGAAAACCTGTAATAGAGTCAGATATCACAGTCGGTCTTATATGAAACTACCAACTACAATTGTCCTCGTAAATACAACTCAATACTACTGTATATATATATATATATATATATATATATATATATATATATATATATATATATATATATATATATATATATATATATATATATATATATATATATATATATATATATATATATATATATATATATATATATATATATATATATATATATATATAT